ACCTCAAGGACCTTAAGGATGGCAGGATATGGCTCTTTTACGATAATTTCGTTTAGAATATTCTTTAAGATAACATCCTGAAAGTATGCTACACTCGTTTGATACGTAACCCCCAAAAGTATGCCAACTTTAAAATATTATGTTGTGCGTTAATACACTTAAAAAATTCTATGGTTTCAGGCAATTTCCAATAGATGGCGCTTTGCGTGTTGCGAAAGCGGTGATTGTAGCTCAACATAAGGCCGAGCAACATTGCAAGCACCAGCAATATAGGAGCGAGAGGAGGATGTATCAGGACCTTACCAGAGTCCTGCCCAGACCAGAAGCCGCAGGCAAATCATAATAACATCAAAGCTTATTTATATATATTTCGATATTGAGGCCAAGACTTAAAGATAATGAACAGAAAAGAGCCAGTAGTTGGCCGCGAGGAGAGCGCCTTCCTGCCCGAGCTCGAGAATGTTAAGGAACATTGGAGTCAGCAATTGGACATGTTGTGGGGCTGGGATGGCAAGGAAGGGATTAGAAGAAAGGCAAGGTAAACTTCCTTCATGGCACGTCCTTTATGTCAATTTTGCCTGCAGTAGCAGGGATCCGTCTCTGAACGGATAAGTCATGAGTAAGTCAGGCAAGCTTTCTTCGACCTATTATCAGTTGATATTATCCAGTTGATGTCGTTGAGGTGGAAGGTCCTGCACAAATACGGGCGCTATCCTCATCGAACTTGCCCGTACTCTCGGACACTATGACATGACATGAACGCGTCCAGACTGCAAGCAGCCATGACATTGGTATTCTCCCTCAGGCACTGCCTCGTTCATATTCTAGAATTTTAGATAATAATTAATGACTGGAACATTACTCTTCAATATCATACATACCACAACGTCAGAGTCTGAGATAATCCCGCTCAGCACCTGTATTCAGATCTGGCCGTAGTCCCCGTGGTAGAGCTCTTTCTGCATCTGTATGGATAAGTATATGAACATAAGTTAATTAAAAAATAAATGAACTTGTTTTATTGAATTCTGCTAAATGGCAGTGTAAAGTAACTTCAAATCGAAGTCCACACCTGATAATTGGGTGCATTTATTGCAAGTGAACATCAACTGGAGTTTCAGCAGACAACAAAATGACAACAAAGCAGAACCTAGTAGATGTGCAATCCAGGGGAACCGCAACACTATTGATTCATAAATCAAAAGCCTTTTATGAATGGAGAAAACAAACAGTCTGTCCCCTTGCACCACTTCTGCACAAGAGAACTCGGCATCTGCCTCGGCATCGGCCCCACAGCAGAAGGAGCGGGAGAACGACCAGGACCGAGCCTGGTTATTTATGAGCCAATAACTTTACAACTAAACGCTCATCTACATTTAATGGCGATAATTTTTGACGCAATTTGAGAAACAGACACACCGGCGGTCGATCCCTGGCTCTTGACTGGCTCCCGTCCATGGGCCCAGACACACTTTCCGCTCCAGCACCAGCTCTCGGGGGCTGGCCTACAAAGAAGTGAAGAAGCCAACCGCAGAAGATAACACAAAACACTTGACACCTTGCCTGGTGTGGGTCTGGTCTGGCTTCGGAATGCGTGCGGCAGGGAGAGAGAGCGCGCGGCCCCACTCCGAAGACAACACCCGAGGGCAGAGCACAATAATAAAAAAAAAGTCCAACAGAAAGAGCGATCGTAAATTTACAATAAAAAGAACGAATACCAAAGCGGTGGACAGGGACAGTGGCAAGTGGCAGGGACAGAGACAGCCACTAAAAGGAGGAAGAATGTTGTAAATTTTGGGATTTCGAGATGGCAACAGCTGCCTGTCTGTCGATCGAGAGCGCCTTCCGATGTGAACTCTGTGGGTGGCTTGACCACTGCTGGAATAGTGGGACTCCCTTCGGCTGGCTGGCTGGCTGGCTGCGTTCCCATTCATCGCATCACTTGCCAGAGCTATGGCATTGTGTGCACTACTCGTACGCGTTCCACAAATCGATTTCAGGCTTCATTAGCTCCCCCCATCAGAGCGCGGAGCACAGCACAGGAAACTCCCGCTCGCTTTTCTAGCCTTTTTCCTTTGTTTTCCTCCCGTTTGCGCGTATTGCAAACACAAATGCGTTTAACTAGCTCATGCTAGCCCCCAAACAGCACCCTCTAGCCTAATGCCACCTCCTACCACCCCCAACCCAAATCTAAAGTCAAAATCCACTAAGTTAGTCGCTCTATTGATGCTCGGTCAACCATCGAGTTTCTGTTTTTTCTGCCTTTCTGCTTCGTTGTTTGCTGAATGCCGCGCGACTGGACTGCCGTCTCGACTAAGTTTTGTATTTTTTTCTCGGGCTTTCGCTCTTCTCATATGCGTCGTTGTGTCGTTCTCAATATTTCCATCATTTCCCCTATTACATTTCCATGGGCATTTTCTGTCGCTTTCCGCTTTTTGTTCTACCACCTTTTGTCAATTTGTGTCATGCGTTGGGTTTTCCTGTTGGCTCTTCGCTTTTTTTCTCGTTTCTGCCGCTTGGCTTTAATTTCTGTTTGCTGGGAAAGTAAAACAAAGCGAGAGTTGTTGACTTTTGATTCTGGCAATGGATGGATGAATGAATGCTTGAATGGTTGCATGTATGCTTCGATGGCAGAAGGGCTGACCGGGGGGTACGTGCCAATGACCAATGTTCTGCTCTAATTCAATTTCGACTCGAGTTAATGTTTGCCTTGCCAAATGATATCCACCCCCTTCCATTCGGTGTGTGGGAAACCTTCCAGCAAAAATCGATTTATATTCTGGAATTTTAACTTCTGGCATATGCATATGATCGTCTCTCTCTTGGCCTTACCCTACCCCCCGCTGTTGTCGTTATTTAGCTTATATAATTCCTCACATGTTTTGACACATTTCTTAATGGCACCTCACACACGCACACTCATACTTATGCAGCTACACTCACACACACTCCCAGATAGAATCGCTGAGGAGAGAAGTGAGCCAGAGAGACAGACAGACAGGGAGACAGGGAGACAGAGCCAGAGGCGAATGAATACAAAATGAACAAATGCAAACACAAAGCCTGGCAGACAGAAAGAGAAATGATATTGTAATTGGCAATCGTTGTTCCGCATAAATCACATGCATAAATTTCGAACCTCGAAGGCATTCTACAAAGGCAACGAATGTGCCACCTCCACCATCACCTCCATCGGTTCGGTTCGAGGAAGGAGACCCGAGTCCTCATCCTTTGTATTCTCCTCCCGCGATTCGGTCGTTAGTTCAAGTCAAATGTTGTTTTCCAATTGGAAAATTTTTCATTAACTAATTGAACATTTTATGGGCAGACTGAGGGGGGAGCATGGGAGGCGGGTTGCTGCTTACAAAGACAGGACCTGACCAAAATGGCGCCAATATTGAATGGCAAACAGAGAGAGAGAGAGAGTGAGAGCAAGAGCGACTCCTGTCCCTGTCACCTTAACTCTGGCAACAAAAAACGGGCCATGGCAAGACAATGGACGAACAATTTTAGACAGCCAGGACGACACGAAAGGACGTTGGCCCAAATGGACATACAAATGGACACACATACAAAAAGCAAGATAGGAGGTGTATCTGTGTGTTTGTGAGTGTTGCTTCGATAATTTACGAGCGCACGCTTGGCCACGGACTTTGCTTCCGTTTTGTACTCAGACATCCCTTGATGCCGAAGGGGAATAAGCGAATTGTGGGCTACTATGTAACAGCAGGAAGAGCGTAAGAGCGTGATTACCATTTACAAGATATGTCTATCAGAAATCAATCCGCAGCACTACCATTACCTCTGTTGATGTCATCTCTAAGCGCGTTCTGCCCTCCAAGGTATTCCCATAGTCCATCATTCAACGCTTACAGCTCTTGTTCTTCTTTGAATATACAAATAATGTTGGAAATTTGCATAACTGTCTGGTTTCTGGGTGCCTTCTTCGCTGCCTGCCGCTCTGCTCGTGGTCAGGAGCTGTCGTTATCCTGCCGGCCATGGCGGATATTAAACATTAGCGCGTGCTGAACACATCAACCGACACCACCCCCAACCCAACACTCAACCCCAACCGCAGTGTACACTCTTGCCACCAAAAATAATTAAGGTGAAAATTGCTGTCGACACGCAAACTGAAAAGGTAAAAGCCATATTCCATCTACCATCAACCAAACTCCCCGCTTGACCAAAGTCGAGCACTTTTAAAGTATTTTTTTTGCTTTGAGAAATGACTGACCAACAGACAGAGCAGCTGATAAAATTAAAGCAGCAGCAGCAGCAGCAGAGGACCAGAAGAGCAGAACCGATTGGGAGATGACTAATGAAACCTATTAGCCCTGTGACAGATGAAGAGTCTTCGTCTTCGTCTTCGTCTCAGTCTTTGTCTCCGTCTCTGTGCCTGTGTGGAGGAGCTGTGACCGCGATGATGGATAAGCTCATTAAGCTGAGTCGCGCCGCTCTCCGCTCTGCACTCCACTCTTCACTCCTCCGCAGGAGATCAGGGATCAGATCATTCGGTAGCGGCATCATCTATGACAGCAGCCTGACCTTTCGTTTAATTGAAATCTGTTGGTGGGCCGCCCCTGCTCAACTCTATCTCTGGACTCCCTCTCGAGTGGTGTCCCCCTAATTTGATGATAAGTGCCGTCGTCTCCACTTGCCCTGACATTTTCCTTATCGCTTATGGCCATACAATGTATCCGAAGGTAAAACCTACCCATTGCCAATCAATCAAGTCACAGCTCACAGATTCCCTCGACGGCATCTCTGGGCACTCTGAGGGTCCATTTGCGCATAAGCGGGTTCTGCTGGAGGGATACGCCACGGAAGTCGTCGCCAGGCAGGCGAGTCGGACGATAGCTCGATGCCGGATCGTTCACCATGCAGCTAATCTTCAGATACTGGACACAGGGATCCTCTCCAATCTCGTTCTCTATGGTGCACTGCTGGGAGGATTACAGTTCCATCAATTTGCTCTCAATTCAGAAATAAATACTTACATTTTTCGCATCACGAAACACTCGCTCCTGGTACTCTCGAAATTTGTTCTCCAATTTATGGGCCAGACAGCGGCTTCTATTAGCTGTTCAAAAAGAGACATTAACTTGGCTCTTACTGGAAAGGACTTCACTTACGTGGCTGGCAATGAAATTGAAATTGGATCAGGAGACTAGTTATGCAGGCGGCCATTATGGCCATCCACACCGCTGAAGTACGTGTATTTTCAGGCATTTTGGGTAAAGAACTTGCAACAACTATTCAGAAATTTTGTTAATAAATTGTCCAGAAATTTGTAAGCTGTATGAATTTTGATACTAAAAGTAAGGAGAAAAGCAAACAATGGCTTACTTGATTGCTTCACTATTTGTTTCTATGGATTTCTTTTATTTCGATCTCTAGCTGTGGCACTTTGTGGAATTTATTTGCATGGTTTTGCTGTCAGCTCTTTGGGTTAGACTACCGCATCGAAGGGCACTTTGAGGTTCCATTGACGCCGCAGATGTTTCGGGACAGTCGGTACCATGAAAATTAAATTACGTCTGTAGTCAGTGGACCCAAGGCTCGGCTGCTGCACACGGCAGCTAATTTTCAGATACTGAGCGTCCTCGAAGTGCCGCTCAACGGTGCACTGGGAAGAAATAATCGCAAAAATAGAATTAGTATTTACTTTGAAATGTTTACTAGAAGAATACTCACGCTATATGCATCCTGGACCATCTCCTCGTTCCGATCCTGGTTGTATGGCATTTGCAGAAGTGGCAGACGGTCTGTCGGAAGAAAGAGAATATATATGTGAATAAATTATGTGAAATAAAATTTCGCTTACGAGCTATTTGATCTCTAAAAAGCAAACAGACGAAGAAGAAGGCTATTAGGATCAGGAAATGCTTTCGAAAATGCCGGGAAAAGGGACACATTTTGGAATTTTGAAATTAATTTTTACAGTAAATGCGAAAGAAGTCGAAAGTGCTATAATTTTGATGGGCAACCAAATAACTCGGAGAAAACTAGATGGCTGAAAGGCACACACATAGAGGTCATATATCTAGAGAGAGAACTTCTCAACACACTCAAGGAGAATTCCAGCGTAAAGAAGTCTTCATCTAATCATAAATTTCACAATTCTCCCCACTTAAGTTCTACGAAATCTAGTTGGCTTTTTGATCTATCTCTGTCGCGTTTTGGGTAAACTTTTCCGATTAGCCATAAAAATCAATAGAAAATGCTATGGAAATTTTCGGCTGCGAACGGACGGACCCACGGACGGCCCCGTCGATGTTTGCTTTTGTTTCTATGTCAGTGTCGAGCCGCAGAGTCGGTCGTCTGCTCGTCTGCTGTCTGACGTTGGATTGTGGGTTTGGCAGTTGCTTTGGCGAATTGGTTGTTGATTTTACGATTTACGATTTAATTTGACGAATTTCACATTCACATTCACATTCACATTATTATTATTTTGTATTTCGGTGCAATTGTTTTGTGCGTCGTCGCATTTATGATCTATCAGTGTGGTTTATGGTCTCGTTATGGCCGCGGGCAAGGCAACGCAACGGATTTCACAACCCCCCAAACATGGCCATGTCTATGGCTGTTCGGATTGTCAGACCAATTAATAATCGGCTGAAGTTATAAGCGTAGTTGGAGCTGTGGATGGATCTTCTCCAGATCAGGGCGTAGGAGGAGGCCTTAGCTTTCTCTCCTTTTTGCGCCCACAGATGTGCGCTTTAATTAATTATTGAGTAAAATTAATTTCATTTCAATTGTGCAGTCGCATCATTAGCAACAGTACAGCAATTCCCCTCCTCCCCCCCACCGCGTAGAAGCGGCAAACCTGCTGAGTAAGCACTGATATCGTTTATAGGTTGCCCCCATCCTCCAGCCAACATCACAGACTCATCTGAAGTGCCATATCGTTTTTATGAGTGGGCTTGAAAGGTGATTAACGCGATCATAGAAACGTTGTTCGAGAGTGGAGTGAGTGCCGGCTGCAAGCTGTAACTGGGGGCTCATCTTTCCCCCAACAACACCTCAAGTGGGGGACAAGGAATGAGAATGGGAATGGGAATGGGAATAGATCGTTAGATCTCCCTAGATCATGACTCTTTCTTTCTATCTTTCTCCATTTGCGCACGCGCTAAATGTCAAAAAGAAACGAAACCTATGAACGGAGCTCGGAGCTCGGAGCTCTGAGCCGCCTGCTGTTTGCTTCTCCAATGTCTGTCTCTGACTTGGTGGCACGCCCTCTGCGGCCCGCCAGGCCGCCCACTTTGAACATGTCGAATCATTCATTCAACGCACAAAATGTGGGCTTTCGGCAGGGTCTTCGCTGAGGTGTTGAAAAACGGTGCACTGCAGAGCTCTGCCGCCTCCCCTCCGTTGCAGGAGGCATTTTGTGTGCATTTGTAATTGTTCAACTGCCTCACTGCAGCGGTGCTCTGTGGCAGCTCTCTGTAGCTGTCATTATTTTCTGTAACATTTAGCAAAATCATTAATAATTGTTGTTGTTTTTGCTGTTGCTCTTGCTGTTGTTTCAGTGCGACACAGATACGCACTTTAAGAAAATTGTCAGACGACAGACGACAGCCGTGATCTGGTGTTAACTTGATTAGCATTCGCATAAATTTCGCTGCAATGCGGCATCTCGGCATTTACATAGAATGCGCATTGCAGAACGAATTGGAATTGGCCTCAAAGCAGAGAGAGAGAGAGAGAGAGAGAGCAGAACAGAACCCTAGAGAACACTATCGCTGGCCGACTGGATTAGAAGCAATCGGTGTGGCCCTGACTGCTCCAATTCCCCCTAGACTGGAGACACTTCACTTGACTTATTATGCAAACAAATAATTTCGTTTAAACTGGAAAGATAAGAGAACAGAAACCGAAAGGAACGAAATTATGAAAATATTTCCTAGGAATTGTGCAGACAAAACAAATTGCCGCGTAATCTTGTGGATTGCTTTGGATAGTTGACAATAAATTGGATTCATTTCCCAGAGTCAGAGGACACAAAACACACAGCCACGAGAGAGTCGCTTTATCGACAAGTGCCGCCAAGTGGAATCAATCAAGCGGAGCAGAGCAGAGAGCGAGCATTCATTTCCTTGGAGAGTTTCGGTCATGTTTGTTGTCAAGAGCGAGAGATCTCGAAGCGTGACAATATTTTGGCCACAAATTCAAACGAAACGATCTCGAGGGGCCAGCACAGGAGAGGGGCCAAGGGTCTTCAGCATGTAATTAATCATGTTGACTCGAACGATAAGTTCTGATCTGCTCGAGGGGTGGAGAGATGAGAGATCCTCGGATTCGCTCCTCCGAGAGTACAACAGGTAGTTCAATGAGAGGTTCACTGCCTTCGTTGTGTGCGGTGTGCGGTGCACTCGGTGGAGGGAGGAAGAGTCAGTAGCCTCAATAAATCTACAAGATATCGGGTACGAGTATCGCTTGCGGGGAAATCAATAATCCACAAAGGGGTCTTGCGACCCTCGCAGGACCCTCCAAAATGTGAATATTTACGATGTATCCGAAAGATCACGACATAAAAGCGCCAAAATTGATACATTATAAGTGGGCATTGGGGGAAATTATGGAAAAGATTAAGGCTAAAAGATACAACCAAGTGATGGATTAGTTGCGTTGCGTGTAGTGGTAAGATCTTCAGGTGGTTTGGAGGGGAAGATACGAGTACGAGTACGAGTGAGTGTCTATAGGCCCCTCTTCATTCTAGGCCAAAATCACCATAAATCGTTTAACATTTGTCAATGGAAGAAGGCAGGGGAGTCAAGTAAAGACTGCAGACTTGGAAGTGTATCTTCTGGTTGAACGTAAGACAAGCAGCCAGCCAGCTTGTACGGGAGCAAACAAAAGCGTCTGTAAACCAACAAAGAGAAACCCTAACGGTGGGTGGACGGCGGTTGGGGGGGCAAACAGTGCAACAATGTCAGGCAAAGATTCAAATGTAACTGGGGGTATCTGTAGCTGTAGCTGTAGCTGTATGGCTGTATGGCTGTGTATCTGTAGAGACGTCTGCTTTGGCATTAATGGCAAATTTGCACGGAGTAAATACTCGTACGGGTAGCAGAACAGACGGACGGACGGATAGACAGCGGCAGTCAATTATCAATAGACTGGAATGTGTGTGTGAGTGTGTGTGTAGTTGTAACTGTACCAACACACCCATACAAATGGTAACATAGATACATTTGTCGCTAGCTGCCGCTGGTTGATGTTTTTTTGTTGCTACTTCACCTGCGTGCAGCTCTCGCTCGCTCTCTCGCTCAGCATACTTCCCTCTTGCTCTGTCTGTGTGCGCGCTCTCGCTCTATCTTGGCTGCGGATTGGCTGGCCTCGGCGTCTGCGCTGCTTTCGGAGAGGCCACACCTCTATTTTATCTGTTCTCCCTCCCCCTCCACCCACCGCATGCACCTCTCATGTTTGCAGCCCCAGACAAAGCGACGTTTGCGTGCAGGTCCCCACGTCCGTCTTCCCTGTACCATTTCATTCCACGGACTACCATTCCCCCTCTCCCCTTTTGGACCCAACATAAGCTTTCGACCTTAATGGCTTCAAAGGGGGTTGGTTGGGGAGGGAAATGGCTTTTGGGGGATGACTCTCCACCACCTGGAGAACAAAATGAAAATGGCTTTTATGTGTGGCGTGCGTTGGGGCAATTTTATGGCCAACATTGGGCAGAACATTCAGGGAAACCTTCATTCCTTGGAGGGCTAAAACTGCTTTCCACCTGGCAACTAGACTTGGGGCTAGGAATATGCAGATCCAGATATGTTTTAATTGTTCTCCTATTGATTTTAGCCCAAAGACAAGCCATAAACTGTGCAAATTTATGCTTTAATTTTGTTTAATTATTTTTTATTTCGTGGTAACAGCTTGGGGTCTGCTTGATGTTTGCGTGAAGTTGGAAAATGGGAGCTAAACTTCACTTCAAATGTGTCAAAATCAATGGTCTCTGAGGCTCTTCACTCTTGGCCGAATTTGATTAGTATTAAGGGAATTTCCAGGAGTTTTATATATGCTTTTTCCTTAACTTACTAAAACTCCCTGTGACATCCACTCCTACCGCTAGAGTTTGAATCTAAAATGGCGAATCCCAGCAGCTCGTTCAATTAAAATCCATAGCAAACTCTTCTACTCTTATACCTCCAATAAGATCAGCTGCTTGCACACCTGAGAGAGCGGCCCTGTATAAGAGCGAAAACGAGTTGCCGATCACCTGAGAGCGGCGGCAAAGAGAGAGAGAGCGCGAGAGAGCGTAAGCTGCTCTCACCCACATGTGGACTGTGCGGCTTGTGGCTGTGGCGGGCTCTGGGGAGCACACCTGGTAGCTTACCGGCGCTCCGGCCAAGGTGTGCAGAGAGACAGCAACAGAGAGTGAGAGAGAGATGGCAGGGGAGGGTTGGTGGGTTAGCCAAGCAGAGCGAGCGCTATAGCGCGACTGGCGGCGAGGTTCTTCTGCGCGAAACCCTCGCTCGTCCAATCAGTACGAACTCGGTTCCCGCCAGCGAAGTGACGACTTCCCCAAGACGACAGCGACAGCACGCGAGAAAACCTCTCTTACTGTCCCCACCAACTCACGACTGCCGTTAGTCAGAGACAGAGTCAAACAGTCAGAGTCGCGTTCTCTTGACCAGAAAGTGCTGCTGCCAGCCGATGTACTATAGTAGAAAGAAAATAGTTTATAGCCAATAAGTTGCAGCGGCATATGACAAAAGATACAAGATACAAATAATCATCCATCCATCCATACGCAGTGGAG